AGCATTGACCTTGAGTTTGGGAGTTGTAGTTCACCTACATCCAGAGACTACCATGGACTCAAACAATGATGGATCTGGACCAAACTTGGCATGAATATTCCATATGCCCAGATATGGACACAGATGGAGTTTGGGGAAAAAAGACCTTGACATTTGGGTGTTGTAGTTACTGGGATTTATAGTTCACCTACAATCAAAGAGTGCTCTGAACCCCACCAATGACGGAATTGGACCAAATTTCCCACACAGAACCCCCCTGACCAACAGAAAATACTCAAGGCCATCCAGTCCAACTCCCTTCACCAGGGCAAGAAAATCTAATCAAAGCCCTCCTGACAAAGAGTCATCCAGCCATAGCTATAACCAGATATATATGATATGACACACAGAGAGATATAGTATCATAGATTTGAATGGGAACCATAAAGAAGAACAGTGATATGTTGCATATTCCAGAGTAGGCAAACCAGACACTCTCCTCATCAACACTGACAAAGAAACAAGAAGAAATATCATTTACCTACAAGCATAAAGAAATTACATAGATTACATTGATAGTGATGTTGTTATTGTGGTTTTTGATATTGCCTTTATTGTAAATTGTCTGTTTTTATATGTTGTACACCGCCGTGAGTCGCCCTAGGGCTGAGAACGGCGGTCTACAAATGCAGTAAATAAATAAATAAATAAATAATAGATTAGAAACCATTACTTTCTTTTCCAGCTCACGAGACTGGGCCACAGCAACGCGTGGCAGGGGACAGCTAGTAAAAACTATAACAAAATCAATCTATATAAATAAAAATGCAATGTTCATTTGTGGGATTAACATAATTCAAAAACCACTGGACGAATAGCCACCAAATTTGGCCACAAGACACCTACTAACCAAAGGAGTGACCATCACTTAAAAATTGATTTTGTCATTCGGGAGTTGTAGTTGCTGGGATTTATAGTTCACCTGCAATCAAAGAGCATTCTGAATTCCACCAATGATGGAACTGAACCAATCTTGCCACACAGGACTCCCATGACTAATAGAAAAATCCTGGAAGGGTTTGGTGGGCATTGACCTTGAGTTTGGGAATTGTAGTTCACCTACATCCAGAGAGCACTGGGGACTCAAACAATGATGGATCTGGACCAAACTTGGCACGAATACTCAATATTCCCAAATATGAACCCAGATGGAGTTTGGGAGAAATAGCCTTGATAATTGGGAGTTGTGGTTACTGGGATTTATAGTTCACCTACAATCAAAGCGCATTCTGAACGCCACCAACGACAAAATTGGGGCAAACTTCCCACGCAGAACCCCCATGACCATCAGAAAATACTTAAGGCCATCCAATCCAACTCCCTTCACCAGGGCAAATAATCCCAAATAACAAAATCAACCCCCCCCCCCCCCCCCCCCCCAACACCACCAGTATTCAAATTTGGGCGTATTGGGTGTTTGTGCCAAATATGGTCCGGTGAATGAAAATACATCCTGCATATCAGATATTTACATTACGATTCACAACGGTAACAAAATTATGAAGTAGCAACGAAAATAATTTTATGGTTGGGAGTCACCACAACATGAGGAACTGTATTAAGGGGTTGTGGCATTCGGAAGGTTGAGAACCACTGCTCTAGAGTGAAATGGCCTAGTGTGTGTGTGTTAAATCGCACAAAACGTGCTTGTCTCCCCTCTACTTCCAACATTGGGTTCTTTAGCCTTTTAAAAGTACAGATCTGATTATAGATTCCATCCATAGTCCAAAGTTCAGCATTTCTGTGACTCGTAATGGGTGGTGGAGGTGGAATTAAAGCCTTGCTCTTTGCCTTTAGGTAGGTACCAATTTCTGTCTGTTCTTCCCTCTCAGCCTCTTAAATAAAAGGCGTTGTTTTCCTTCCTTTCTTTTTCTGTCTCCAGCACAGCAACAGAAATAAGCAGCAACTCCCACACAGAAACTAACAGTTAGGCTGGTCCTATTATTTCGTACTCGGCAACTAGAAAACTGCTGTGCCGTGCAGAGAAGCTGCCGTAGATATGTTAAAAGGCAACCTTCGAAAAACAAAAATTTAAAAAATCAACTTAAAACTGAATTTTAAGTTTCCACCAAGGCAGAGAAGTGAATATAACAGGCTGTGCTTTTTATTTAATTTTAGTTTGTTAAGTTATAATTCATATTTATATGTTGGGTTGTATAAATTTTGTTAGTATGGATGTATTGTTGTTGTATTCGGGCACTGAATGTTTGCCTTTTATGTTTGGAATCCGCCCTGAGTCCCTTTGGGGAGATAGAGCGGAATATAAATAAAGTTATTATTATTATTATTATTATTATTATTATTATTATTATTATTATTATTATTATTATAGACTATGAAATTGTTATTATCCCAAAGATTTTTATTATGTTTTACTAGTTTTGGAGATTTTTCTGTCATTATTCTAATTTAGGTTTGTGGGTTTTTGACTTGAAAGGAATATTTCTGGGTGCTTGGGTGGGGATTTTTTTTAGATTGTAGGTTTGTAAGATCTGTGTTTTGTTTTCAGGTGCCGAGTTATAAATAGTTTTGCGATTAGTTGGGGGGTATGGAGTATAGAATGAGATTTATTTTTGTGAGGTAGGTGTTTTTTGGATGGCGGAGGCGGGGGATAATTTATCGTTGTTTGGGGTTTAGTTGTTGTTTGTTTGTTTGTCTTAGCCAAAAGAATGCTCCAGAGTTTAGGGTTTTTTTTTTTGGTTTAGGAATTATTCAGCGGTTTGTTTATATGTAAGTTAAAATAAGGTTGATGTTTAGTGATGAGGGAGCAATTATTTTTTTTCTTGTCGAGGGTTTTTTTGACTGAGGAAGGAGTTTTTTGCAGGGTTTGTACTTATTGGACTGTATTTTTTTTTTTGGAGCGTTTAAATTAGATGTTTTGTTTGTTTTAAAAATTCTAATGGTTATTACATTGAAGGACCAAGCTTTTTGTATAATTAGAAGAAAAGAACAAAAAGAAACAAGTCAAGGAGGAAGGAAGAGGAGGAGAAGAGAGAGGAGAGGGAGGAAGGAGGGAGAGGAGAAGGGGAGGGGGAGAAGAGGAGGAGAGGTGGGGAGGAAGAGAGAGAGAGAAAGAGGAGAAGGAAAAGAGGGGGAAGAAGAGGAAAGGGAGAGAGGAGAAAGGGAGAGAAAAAGGAGAGGAGAGAAAAGAAGGAAGATGAGACGGGCCCACTGCCGGCGACGGGTGAGCGGGGCAGGCAGGACGGGGGGTGAGGCGCCGCGGGCTCGGGTGGGTTGTTGCATTAGAAACACAACAAGATGAGTCCACAGCAGACAAAATCACTCTGCTGGTTGTTGTATTGGATCACTTGTCAGACACTTCCCAAGTGTCTAGGACTGTGAGACATTATTATTATTATTATTATTATTATTATTATTATTATTATTATTAGAACACAACAAGATGAGTCCACAGCAGACTCTGCTGGCTATTATTATTATTACAGCAGACACTCTGCTGGCTGATTATTATTATTATTATTATTATTATTATTATTATTATTATTATTATTAGAAACACAACAAGATGAGTCCACAGCAAACACTCTTCTGGCTGTTGAATTGGATCACACGTCGGACATTTCCCAAGTGTCTAGAACTGTGTGATGAATTATTATTATTATTATTATTATTATTATTATTATTAGAAACACAACAAGATGAGTCCACAGCAAACACTCTTCTGGCTGTTGTATTGGATCACATGTCGGACACTTCCCAAGTGTCTAGGACTGTGTGATGTATTATTATTACATCACACAGTCCTAATATATTAGAAATTTCTAATATATTATTATATTAGAATATTATTATATTATTATATTATTATATTATATTTCTAATATAATATTAGAAATATTATATTTCTAATAATATTATTATTATTATTAGAAACACAACAAGATGAGTCCACAGCAAACACTCTTCTGGCTGTTGAATTGGATCACACGTCGGACATTTCCCAAGTGTCTAGAACTGTGTGATGAATTATTATTATTATTATTATTATTATTATTATTATTATTATTATTAGAAACACAACAAGATGAGTCCACAGCACTCTGCTGGCTGTTGTACTGGATCACTCGTCGGACACTTCCCAAGTGTCTAGGACTGTGTGATGTATCGACGAATAATGCATGCAGATCCCAGTAAGGTGGCCTTTTGCAGCTGGCAGATGGTAACCACTGGGACCACCTTGACTGGCTTGTGCCACAGTCTTTGCAGTTCGATCTTTAAGCCCTCATATCTTACATCCTCATATCATATACGAGGATCTTTAAATCCTCATTAGTTATTATTATTATCATTATTATTTATAACATACACATTCTTTCAATCTAAAGTCAAGTGCAGAATGCTACTGGGTTCGGATAATTTTGCCAGTGCTGATTGTGTTTAAGTGCATGCCAAGGTCTTTAGGCACTGCACCCAGTGTGCCAATCGCCACTGGGACCACCTTGACTGGCTTGTGCCAGAGTCTTTGCAGTTCTATGAGGATCTTTAAATCATCATTATTATTATTATTATTTATTATTATTATTATTATTATTATTATTATTATTATTATTATTATTATTATTATTATTAACATACACATTCATTCAATCTAAAGTCAAGTGCAGTATGCTACCGAGTTCAGATAAATGGTGGCTCTTTGTTAAAGCCAATCTTTTCCATGCTTGCGCCTACACACCCCTCACACGTAAAGAAAATCAGGAGATTGCTCCCCAAATTATATCAACACAAGCAGAGAATTCCAATACTGTTCAAACAGTCCACTCAAATCTCAGGTTGTTCAGTTCATAAATCCAAAAAAGAGCTACAATACATTCGTTTTAATGCCACTTGAGTCCAGACTTTCCCTCCAGCCTCTTCCATTCATGTGCAGGTTCTCACAAACACACAAATACACAGACGTATGGATATATGGAAATACATAATCGCAGGCATGTACGTACATTACAGCAGTCCATCTTGGGTGCTAACAGGAGGTTGAGAGCGGCTTTCTGCTCCACTTAGTGAGAACTTGCTGTCCTTTGGATCAGTGCTTTCGGCAGGTGCTGAAGTTGAGCGCAGCTTCTTGCCTACGCAACCCAGTTCCTCTCCACTGGGGAGAGCCTATCAGACCCACTCGAGCAGCTCGAGTCCTTCTTGTGCTTTCCAATTTCTCTCTCGCTTGCTCCAGCTTATTTTACAGCCACCCCCCTTGCTTCTAACTAACACATTTTAATACTTAAAGAGACAGGCAGCCTGGCATGAGATCCTTCCTGTGCCACCGTTATGTGCAAACTGTACACAGCATTGCATGGCCAATCGACAGGTCTCGCTCATTCGAGTTCATGTCTGCAGTTTATTCTCATTTATTATTGCCGTGGACAACAAGTTAAACACGAGCCAAAAATGTCATGCGGCGGCTGAAAAAGTCAATGGGATTTTGGCCTGCATCAATAGGAGTCTAGTGTCTAGATCGGGGGTCCTCGAACTTTTTAAACAGAGGGCCAGGTCACAAACTGTTGGAGGGCTGGATTATAATTTGAAAAAAGCATGAACTAATTCCTATGCACCCTGCACATATCTTATTTGTAGTGCAAAAAACACTTTAAAACAATACAATATTTAAAATGAAAAAAGCAATTTTAACAAATATACATTTATTATGTATTGTCGAAGGCTTTCATGGCCCGAATCACTGTGTTGTTGTAGGTTTTTTCGGGCTATATGGCCATGGTCTAGAGGCATTCTCTCCTGACGTTTCGCCTGCATCTATGGCAAGCATCCTCAGAGGTAGTGAGGTCTCTTGGAACTAGGAAAAAGGGGTTTATATATCTGTGGAATGACCAGGGTGGGACAAAGGATTCTTGTCTGTTGGAGCTAGGTGTGCATGTTTCAACTGACCACCTTGATTAGCATTTGATGGCCTGGCAGTGCCTAGTGCAATCTTTTAATAATAATAATAATAATAATAATAATAATAATAATAATAATAAACCTTTATTTATACCCCGCTACCATCTCCCACAGGACTTGATGCGGCTTACAAAAGGCCGAGCCCAAATACAACAACAATAAAACACAACGACAACAATACAACAGTAAATAACTCATAAACAAAGCAAAAACAATAACAATAATATCACAACGCATTTAAAAACATGGGCAGGGCCATATATAATAATTAAAAATATAAAAATGCTGGGTATGTCAAAGTGAAATAGGATGGATATTTTAGGGATAGGTGGGCGTGCAGACAATCCTAAATCTCTCGTAAAGTGCAATTGGGACATATTGCTTGGGATTCCTTATTCTTTTGTTGAGAGGTGATTAGCTGTCCCTGATTGTTTCCTCTCTGTTGTTTTGCTGTTGTAATTTTAGAGTTTCTTAATACTGGTAGCCAGGTTTTGTTCATTTTCATGGTTTCCTCCTTTCTGTTGAAATTGTCCACATGCTTGTGGATTTCAATGGCTTCTCTGTGTCGTCTGACATGGTGGTTGTTGGTGTGGTCCAGCATTTCTGTGTTCTCAAATACAATGCTGTGTCCAGGTTGGTTCATCAGGTGCTCTGCTATGGCTGACTTCTCTGGTTGAAGTAGTCTGCAGTGCCTTTCATTTTCCTTGATTTGTGTTTGGGCAATGCTGCGTTTGGTGGTTCCTATGTAGACTTGTCCACAGCTGCATGGTATCCGCTAGACTCCTGCAGAAGTGAGAGGATCCCTCTTGTCCTTTGCTGAACGTAGCATTTGTTGGATTTTCTTGGTGGGTCTGTAGATAGTTTGTATGTTGTGTTTCGTCATCAGCTTCCCTGTGCGGTCAGTGGTTCCCTTGATGTATGTCAAGAACACTTTTCCTCTGGGTGGATCTTCATCTTTACTCTCGTGGCTTGTTCTTGGTCTTGAAGCTCTTCTGATGTCTGAGGTGGAGTATCCATTGGCCTGGAGAGCCCAGTTGAGGTGGTTCAGTTCATCTTGGAGAAGGTGAGATTTTTAGGTGTTTTCGGGCTATATGGCCATGGTCTAGAGGCATTCTCTCCTGACGTTTCGCCCGCATCTATGGCAAGCATCCTCAGAGGTAGTGAGGTCTGTTGGAACTAGGGGAAAGGGTTTATATATCTGTGGAATGACCAGGGTAGGACAAAGGACTCTTGTCTGCTGAAGCTAGGTGTGAATGTTTCAACTGATCACCTTGATTAGCATATAATGGCCTGACAGTGCCTGGAGCAAACTTTTGTTGAGAGGTGATTAGTAGGCTTGGTTGATCAAGAAAAAATTTGGTTCTAAACTCGCTTCGTTTCTAGGGGGCACCAGCATTTCAAATTTCAGAGGCCTTCCAAAATTTATGATTTCGAAATTTCCAAATTTCCAAATTTCCGAAATTTCGTTAACTGCGAATCGATTTGTTAATGGCGGACGCGATTGCGCAATGCGCGAAAAACACCTCCAAACGGGACAGGGGGAACTTCTGAAGCATTCCTCTCCCTCTGTAGTTGACTGTTGGTGATAAAACTTACAACTAACTAACAGAAACCAAATTAAAATAAATTCAGGGTGAAATTAAAATACATTAAGTTAGTAAAAATACAAGTTAAAATCAATTAAAATCAATTAAATAAGACAATAAGAAAATAATAACGAAGCTGGCGGAAGTTGTTTTTAAGATGGCGGCCGCGGTTTCGTTTTGGGCAAAACACTTCTGGGTTCCCAGAAAGCCTCAAAACCGCTTCTAATTATAAAAAAACGAATAAAAAACGAATAACGAAAATAACGATAATCCTCGTCTTGGGGCACTGCAACAACCCCAGTCAGCTGAGCTCCTACAGTTCCTTATAGTTACTCCCTGACCCAGTGAGCTCCCAAGATTTGGGGTTTGAAAACAACTTGACACCTGGAGAAAATAGACGGCTGGAGTTCAGCCAAAATAGACAGCTTAGCCAAGGTTTTAGCCGTTCCTCTAGGCTCCGAGAGATAAGGGCGAGGAGCGATAGGCGAGGAAACCGAAACCAGTTTCTAAGTGTTGGGATATAAAGTTCTGTCCAAGGAAAAAACTTGTTAGATGAAGCATCGTTTCAGAATCCTGTTAAGACCTGATTCTTGTTCTATGGAAGCTTTGCTTGGAAGATTCATGTTAAAGATTTTGGTTCATGGTTTGATACCTTGTCTCTTTGGATTCAATTACAAAAGTCTGGATTTGCTTTTGAACTTTGCTGCACCCTGCCTTGGAATACTTTGTTCTTGCTTATCTTTCTGCCTAATTTGGATTTATTTACTTATTTACTTCATTTGTATACTGCTTTTCTCAGCCCTTAGGTGGCTCAAAGCGGTTAACAATAGCAAAAATTCAATGCTAAACATCATAAAAACAGTTAAGGGACAATTAAAACAATAACATAGTAAACAATTAAACACCAATATAACATCTCATTAGCGTCTCATCAGTAGAATCAAGATCCAATCTCATCATCCGTTATTCCATATTCCTATGCTCTTGTTCCACGCTCTTGTTACATCCCGTATAGACTACTGCAATGCACTCTACGTGGGGTTGCCCTTGAAGACTGTTCGGAAACTTCAACTGGTCCAACGAGCGGCAGCCAGACTGCTCACCGGAGCGACATACAGGGAACACACAACTCCCTTGTTGTGTCAGCTCCACTGGCTGCCAATCCAGTTCCGAGCACAATTCAAGGTGCTGGTTTTGACCTACAAAACCCTTTACGGTTCCGGTCCAGCGTATCTGTCCGAACGTATCTCCCTCTACGTCCCACCCCGGAATTTGAGATCATCTGGGGAGGCCCTGCTCTCGACCCCACCACTATCACAAGTGAGGCTGGTGAGGACGAGGAGCAGGGCCTTCTCAGTGGTGGCCCCCCCACCTGTGGAACTCACTCCCGGGAGAAATCAGGACATCAACATCCCTCCTTGCCTTCAGGAGAAAGGTAAAGACGTGGCTATGGGACCAGGCCTTTGGGCATCCTGACAATTAGATATGGAATCCAGATGGATAGGACTGACAATGTACGGAAAGTAGAACCTAAACTATGAGTCTGTTAAACGCTGACCAGCAATGAGGTTTGTATTGCTTTTATTGTTTTAATTGTTTTAATCACTTTTATGGATTTTTTGGATGTTTTGCCAATAATGATTGCTTATGTTAATTGTTATCATTGCTATAATTGCTATTGTTATTGATGTTATGTTTTTGTTGTCATGTAATGCGGGCATCGAATTGTGCCTTGTTGTGTAAGCCGCCCTGAGTCCCCCTCGGGGTGAGAAGGGCGGGGTATAAGCGACCGTAATAAATAAATAAATATATTCATTACACTGGCTATTCAAATGCCTGCTCGAACAACCAGGTCTTCCTCCGAAATGCCAATAGGGAGGGGGCCGATGTAATATCTGTAGGAAGGGCGTTCCACAGCCGAGGGGCCACCACTGAGAAGGCCCTGTCTCTCGTCCCTGCCAGGCGTGCCTGTGTTGCAGGCAGGAATGAGAGCAGGGCCTCCTTAGATGATCTTAATGTCCTAGCTGGTTCATAGGAGGAGATGCGTTCGGACAGGTAAGTTATTTTACCTTGCTGTTTTTTGCTTAACTTTAATAAAAGAGGATTGTTTTCCTACTCAACGTGTGGTGTTTTTAAAATCAGAGGGTTATTCCTGTCCTGGAGTGCAATAGATATTCTGCTCCATGTGTACAAATAATTTGACTAGCTTTGGACATTAGGCACTTGCATAGGTAAACACTAAAAGAGTCCCATCTATCTTATTGGCATTTAAACAGAATTCCTGGTTGAAAAGTTAGGGGAAGTATAATTTACATCAGTAACAGACGGAAGTTACGGTAGATTCTCCAACTCAAAATGAAAAAGACAAATTGCTGCTTTTTTGTGACTTCCAAAATTCTCCTTTCTGAAATAGTAGCTTCACCTAGTGCAATGATACGGATGGTTCTGTCTTTGCTAACATTGTGCCTTTTTCCAGGTTGTCTCTTGGGGAGGTGTCTTTTCGAGCGGATGTTCTGTGATCGCAACCCAGCGCACCTTTTGGATTCGCTTTAATTTAGCCCCATTGGCCCCTGTCCCGGACCGGAAATCAATTGTAATGTGGGTCACTACATTCAGACAATCTGCAAGTGCGACAAGATGAAGAACTGGAGTCCCTCGGCCCATGAGATCACCTGAGAACACTGAGACAGTGAGAGCTTCAATGTTGCAATCACCACGGCATTCTGCGCGCAAACATGCGTCTGCCCTTGGACTTTCCGATCGTTCTGTGAGG